TCAAAATTAATTTGATTTTGCGTTGCAGTTAGATCAGTCTAAATTATGGAGCAATTTTTCAATCTTATATCGATTAATCTTTTATTAATGCTTGTCGCACATCCCATTGTAGACTACTGCAAGCAGTATTGACTGCTGTCCATCATATCCTATCTTTATTTAGTTTGCAGGGCCTTTAGCAAAAGCATGTTTCCAACTTAGATTTATGCCCGTTTTAATATTCGTGGAATTTAAAGGCCAAATCAAGATGTGAACATCCTTTGATAGCTGGAGCCTCATTTTATCGAAGCCTCAGTCAAATTTGTTCCTAGTTCAACCTTAACAGCTTGTAAAACCACTTAGGCTAACAAAATTGATGGGAATATACCAAATTAATGGTCCGTTTTGGAAATTACCAGTAATCTGACAGGGCATAGAGCTAGGTTTCGACGCTCCGAAAATGATGTCAATCCAAGACAAAAAAAAGGAAACTGGCCCAACAAAAGGCCACATCTCGGCCTTGATATCTTTGATATAGCAAAAGCAACAATATACCTTGAAATTCGATATAACCCTACTTTTTTTATTTAGAGCACTTTGCCACGAATGTAACCTAAGAGAGAAAGCGTCTGGTTCTAGCCGCCTTATATGTTTCAAATGCCATGGCTTTATTGAGGAAGGACAGCAATTGAAGTATATTTCCGAAGTCTATCACGCTTACCACTTTAATTGCTCATCGTGTGGCTTTGAATTGAGTGCCGATGCCAGGGAAAAGGATGGCGAGCTCTTCTGTCTGAGATGTCACGATAAAATGGGCATACCAATCTGCGGTGCCTGCAGGTTAGCATCATGTTCAGTTAATTTCGCACCGTGGCTTTGGTAAATGTAATTGTCTTTTTTTTGCAGGCGGCCTATCGAAGAACGAGTGGTGCATGCTCTTGGTAAGACGTGGCATGTCGAACACTTCGTCTGTGCTAGATGTGAAAAGCCATTCCTGGGTTCAAGACATTATGAGAAAAAAGGCTTGGCTTATTGCGAGTTACACTACCAGCAACTTTTTGGTATGCTGTGCTATGCATGCAACCAAGTTGTTGCAGGAGAGACTGTTTATGCTCTCAATAAGGCGTGGTGTGTCGATCATTTTGGGTGCAGCGTTTGCGACAGGCGGTTAAGTCCAAAGTAAGTCACTTTTACATACTCTGCATACTCTCCAATTAAGCACCGATGAAGCCTATTAATGTCTTATCTTTAGTGAGTATTTACAGGGGAAATTTGTATGGAAAATTTAAAATGTGAAAAGCCTTAATTAAACATTATTTTGCATTTTAGAACTAAATTTTACGAGTTCGATATGAAGCCTGTGTGCAAATCATGCTACGAACTGTTCCCAGCAGAGCTACGCAAACGTATTGCCAAGATGCACAAAATGGAGGACTAGATATGTAGAATTACACTTCTTCGGACGCTCAATCAATAATCACTTTATCTGCAAATAAGGATGCATTTAAGAGCTTCTTTTTGGCCTATTTACAGCCAACCCATTATCCATGCATGCTTTATTTATATCAAACTTTTAAACTAATCAGTAGCGTAGAGTGCGTTGGTCAATTTGGTCCGCAAGCCAAGGGTAAATCAGCCTCGACCGCTTTGTCACTTACCAGAAAGGCTTCTAAATCCGATCCACTATAATTTACAAATAACTAAAAGCTCACTAATCGCAAACAAATTAGTAAAGCATCACCACTCGGCAAACTCGTCCGCTTTCTAATTCACTAGAGAAAAGCATTTTAGTCGGTGAAAATAAAATATCCCGCCATCTGATAAGTCAAAATCACTCCATAACTCCACTTTTTATTTTCAGACCGTGCAGCATTTGTCTTAGCTCAATCTCATTTGTCGATTTATATCGCATCTATTCTTGGGGCTGCAAGGCTCGCTACTAGATTTACGGATTTATCAATGTGTACTGTAAAGGACGGTACCGAAAAACATCTATTGAACCAGTATCTTACTAGCATTAGGCAAGCCCCCATTCTACGTAGAGGCAGTGTTCAATTTGATTTGTTGATAAAATTGACCAGCACACTGTT